CGACGAGGACAGCGATGACGACAATGACGACGATGACGACGAGGACAGCGATGACGACAATGACGACGATGACGACGAGGACAGCGATGACGACGAGGACGACGATGACGACGAGGACGACGATGACGACGAGGACGACGATGGTGATCATGATGCCGATGGTGTGGGATAGTATAATAAGGGTTACGTTAATGAAGATTACAGTGACGATGATTATGACGATGATGATGTTGATGATGACAGTGGCGGCGGCGGCGGCATTCATGGTGGTGGTGGCGGTAGTAATATTGGTGATTATGATGATGATGATGTTGATGATGACAGTGGCGGCGGCGGCGGCATTCATGGTGGTGGTGGCGGTAGTAATATTGGTGATTATGATGATGATGATGTTGATGATAACGGTGGCGGCAGCGGCGGTCGTGGTGGTGACTATGATGATGATTATGATGATGATAATGAGTGTGGGGGGAAATCCACGATAAATCGTGTATAATAACATCGTTGTTTTTCCGTGGAGCACCCGCTGATTGAGATCTATAGCAGTATTGTCCACATCTCGTATGCGTGCTAAGACATCGAATAGACAATTATAGATGTTAAACATCGTCATATATACACACGAGTCCTGTCATGATAATTTCACAACGATTATGATAACAAAATCGGTATAATTTCACGATTTGTTGATTTCGAACGTCCTTCAAATCTCCGTCCGCGCCATTTTCAATTATTAATCATCGCAAGCAGCGAATCTTTCGGAAACCTCACACACTCCCTGCAGAAGAGAGTGCTGCGCGATTGTGTGTCCGCGCTGAAAAAAATCCAGCCGATAAAACGGAATTCCGTTTGTTTTTCGTTACAGCCGAGGCGCTGCACTTGGCGCATCTGATGTCGTCGCATGGCTACATATTCCCGATAGAGGAGCACGTACTCACCGTGAAGGCCGATGGAACGTACTACAGGTTTCAGGTAAGCTGCCGGAGAGGGCAGGTGTGGTATGGTAGACATTCCCCCTATAGCAATCGCATAGAAAGATATAGAGACACTAATCTAACTATAGTATTATTTCTATGGGCAATCGTCACACCCCCGTATACATTGCGTATGTGTACATAACATTAATAGCTCATAATGGAGACTCTCTATTATGTACTATTGATAACATGTGTATGTCAAACAGGGCGCGCATGTGGCGCATTGCGCATAGGGATTTGATTTTTTTGCTCATGCGCAGTATATAGGTGGGGGGGGGAGTACGTTTGCCATAAGGGGGAATGTCTATCGTTCTATACAGAAACCCGTTGATTGCCTTTCGTTTCCAGATCTTGGGTCTTCTACATGCCGCGGATTCCACTAAGTTGTGCTTTGTTGCGCCCCCACCCAACACATTGTAGCTAGCTTTCACCCGCTATTAACTAGGTAGCAAATATGCGGGGGATTTTGCACGGTGTGTGCCATGTTCGAATGGTAATTTTTTTTACCATTTCACCTTTTTTCTGCAACCATGCCGTCGAGCGGAATTTAGTTTCCGGTCGTCGCGCTTACACGCGCTACTATAGTGTCTGTCTAAATTAATTGCCTGACGCTTGTCGCCTCGCCACTATGTGCCCGTTGATCGAATTAGTTTTCATCGTCTGTAACTTTACTGAGAGTACGGATTGGTCTCTGCCACCGCTGCCGCAGCCGCGCGCCACCAGGGGGCAGGTCTACCACTTGACCGAGACTACCTATCCAATCATAGCCATGGACATTTTACGCGGCGAGGAAATTCGTAAAGTGGCGTCTTTTTACTTCTCGCTCTTTCGCTCTTCGTTTATGATAAAACAATAATACGCGAACGGACACACAGTGAAGAGACGCGAAGCCAGTCTAAGAAACTGCGCTCGGAAGAACGAGTCGGTTGTCGCCATATTTATCCCATAATGCACGGGTATATGGGTAAAGTATAAGGGTATTAGGGGTATTATGGGATATCCGCGCATGGTTTAGTCTCATCATTTCACAAGATCTTCGTCGGTGTGAGACTAAGAACCAATCAACTGCATGTTGGAGCTTACGGGTACACTCACCCAGTATCCGCCACCTGCAATACACCTAACAACGGTCTATAGCAACCGACGAAAGTGCAGCACTTACTCTGAAGATGGCTTCCAAGTGTGGGCACTTCTCTGCTACGATACGCATGCCAACACGTGGTATTTCCATGATCGCATATACCGCAGTTTATCACTGTTTGTTCTCCATTACTGTTTGTAGTAAGAAAGTACGTTGTAATACTGCCTTGTAACATACAACAACAGTTCTGCTGCCATTCTAATATAAAGCGGGTTACCAAATGCATGTGATCAGGAGCTTATAAATGAAAGCTTCCATTTATAATGAAAGCTTCCATTTATAAGCTCCTGATGTGATCTGTTGAATAGTACGACAACTATACAGACAGAAAATACAAAGGTATATACTTTTAAAGGTCCACGGCTTATACTTTGCAATTTATTACTGTTTATTCTTTACTTACTGCCTGTCGATGTAGTGCATGTCATCGTTTTTATATAGTACGAACACCACAGGTAGCAGATAGAAAGGTAGAATTCCCATCGCAATCTATTATTGTTTATTGTTCATAACTGTCTGTCAAAGGAAGCCCCTATAATAATGGCAAATCGCACGTATAACAAATGTCCTGTCCAGTCCTAAAGCTGAACGCTACGTTTGCTCGCTTCCACTGCCACAGCTAATGCCCACAGGCGAAATTGGGTAGAAAGAAAGTAGAGATTAGATAACCGACTACGGTATTTATATGCGTATGATTTATCACAGTTTACGATACGTAACTGCATGCCTGTCGACGAATTTCGATGTTACGGCTGTATATATATATATATATATATATATGGGCATCGGTAAAACCCGTGAAACCATCTCTGACGTTGACAGCGGCTTGCTGTAATTGACATCGGTTCATGCGGAGTGTGAGTGCGAGATTTACCGTGTCCCAGGCACGCGCGCTAGCTGTCTGCTGCACGAGGCTCACCGGTACAC